GCAGGCGTGCAAACCGTGTCACATGTTGCCCTGCCCTTACAACCACCACAAGCTCCGCCTCAAGGTCCCCCAGTCGGCACACCCAACATGCATGCTGGACCTCCAGGAGGTCCCAATGTCAACCCCAATGCTGCTCCCGGGCCTATTCCTGCCACGACTCCACTGGTTGTCCGACAAGACCAGAATGGTGTCCAATGGATTGCATTTGAGTACTCGCGTGATAGGGTCAAGATGGAGTACACGATTCGATGCGACGTAGAGTCTGTGAATGTGGATGAACTCCCCCAGGATTTCAAGACGGAGAACTGTGTATACCCGCGTGCGTGCTGTGCCAAGGACCAATACAAGGGCAACCGCCTTCACTACGAGACTGAGTGCAACACGGTTGGATGGGCCCTTGCTCAACTCAACCCCTGCCTGCGTGGAAAGCGTGGGCTTATCCAGCGAGCGGTAGACAGCTGGCGCAACAGCAACCAGGACCCAAGACTAAGGAGTCGACGAGTGCGTCGCATGGCCAAGATGACCACCCGCAAGGCCCAGTCGGCTACACACGGCAACCACATGGCTGGCCCAGGTGGACCAGGCGCACCTGGGGTGCCCAATTCTGCCGGATTGACAGCACCACCAAGGCCCACCAATATGGGAATGGGAGGTTCCCAGATGCTCCATCACCATGATGGACCAGGGGGACCCCACGGAGGAGGCGACGATGTTAGCGGTATGTTTCACCAGATGTGATGAGATGAGCGCGATTTGTTGGGATGTTTAAAATGATACCTCTGTCTTTTTCTGCACTTCATGTACTGTATATTACACGCTCCTTGATGTAATACCCCTCGATATCCACCACCACTGCCCCCAGTCCATGCAAGCATGCATATACCCATCGTTGTACCCCACGCATTATTGCACCCATATTGGATCGACGCAGGGATCACAAGTCATGATTCCGTTTAGAATGTGCACGCTAATTTTCTTTGTTTACAGCCAATGAATACGGTGAATCGCACACTCATCATACTCATCATCACCAAGCACCAAATGGGTCACCTACGGAGGTCAGGCAAGCACAAATTTTTTATCCCACCTACCCATCCAGCGATGCAGTAGCAGGTTCAAGTGGCATGCCCCCCATACATGACGGTCTCCACCCGCATCCGCCTGCACACGCCGCGGGCGTCGCAGTATCGAAGCAGCACGATCAAGATGAGGAAGAAAGAAAAGTGGCCATGTTTGGCGACCTACCAGAGTCGAAGCGTCGCAAGTTCATCCTAGTCGACGATGCGCAGCGAGGGACGAGAGTACGAGTTCGTGTCACCCTCGACACGGTCAAGATGGAGGAGATGCCCGACTCGTATCGCAAGTCCAACTCTGTCTTCCCGCGTAGCTATTTTGCCATGCAAATGACATCGCCTCCTGCGAGTCCGCGTGGGAGCAAGGTGTTTAGCGACGAGCCTGACCTTGATAGCGACCCCAGCTTTCCTCTGGCTGGTTCTACAAGCGTGCCAGTGCCCACTCTGGACGGTGAGACTCGTGTGCCCAAGCCTCGTCTTACACGAGCGAAGCGTTCAAAGGAAATCACACTGAACGATCTCGGCTATCGCATGAGCTGGAGCCAAAGCCGTGTCTTTGCTGGGAGGACGTTGTTCCTGCAAAAGTCTCGTAAGTACTCGAGATTTGTTGTTTGTCTGTACAACGGCCAACTAACTGAAATCCCTAGTCGATGCTTATCGCAACAAGATGCGAAGCAGTATGGTGGGCCAAGGCCAGGATGTCACGCAGGTAGCGCCACATTTTGAGACCCGCGTTGGAAAGCGACGCTGGAACGAGAGGATCGAGCGAAGTAAGAAGATGAGGCGCGACGGCTCTCCTTAAGAGTGAGAACCAAAGCAAAAGCCGCTCCCGGACCATTTGCGCCGGATACGTCTTAGACCCTGGTTCGCGACAGCCGTTGCGAGTTTGGCCCGCTTCTCCCGGCACTTGCAGGGAAGCCCCCTAGGTACGACCGGGGTGCCTGGCTGCTTCGACGTTCCCGGCTGAATCCCTTCGCTTTGCCTGTGTGCCTGGCTGACTGTCAAGCACCCTTGTTTCACATGGTGCATGGGCTTTCAGAGGGCTGTCACTACATCGTCTTGTTGTTTCTTCGGTGTGTTGCCAATATTCGGGCTGCGGTGCAGTTGACATCCGCCTTTGCCTCTCTTGCTTTCATACCGACTGATGCGTAGGTGACAGAGCGATCTTGTTGTTTGACTGATGGTGTTTGTCTGCTTCTGTTTTATATCCGGTTTGACGGCTTAATGCTCTGTATGCCTGGCCTGTATTCGACTCGACAAACGTCCCAAGGGACAACAAAAGTAGGAATATTCGTTGAATTAGCAAGCGAACGGTACCCCGTTTCTTAGCAAGGGGAAATGTGGAGTTTTTGGGTGGGGCAGTCATCACGATTCTGTGCTCCGGATAGATCTTACGCGTACTCTGTCGATTTCTTTTCGCTCTCTTATCATGATGTCTGTAACATTGGTAGCGTGCGTGTCCTCGACTCTACAAATCCAGCCCAAGATTGCAATCAAAAGCTATCTACATCTCCTCCGTACACAAATATACATAAAAATGGGAAACAAGGAAACGACCGATAGGCTACTATCAGCTATCATCACATACTATGCACCGCTTCTTCCTCGGCACCCGAAGTATTCCCTCCCCCCTCCCTCCTTCCTACCTAACCAAAGCCAAAAACCTTCCAAGAATTGCGGTATAATTTGCGGCCAAACGTCTAGATGCGGCAAGTTTCGCGACCTTTGCTTCCTCGCGATTCAATATTCTCTCTCTCTCTTTCTGTCTTACTGTCTCTCTTTCTCTTTGTGTACGATGAGGGGGGGAGGGTGATTTCAATATTGGAATTAGACGTGGATGCACTGTTTACGCGAGTAAGATGGTGGTGGGGGTGGTGATGCAGTAGTACTTACTGCTGCCGCTGCTGCTGCTGCTAACTACTGTACTGCCGACTGCCGACTGCCGACTGCTGGCTGCTGATTATGCGAACTAGTTTTTGAACTGGGTTGGGTCTTTCTTGTTTTGGTAATATTTTCTGCTAGTTTTGGGGGGAGGAGGGAGGGGTGTTCATTGGGCCTTGGGTTTATGGGGTTGTTGTTGTGTCGTTTTGGGATGGGATGGGATGGGATGGGTGCTGATAATTCTTGTGGGTGGGAGAAGGTGATTTGTGAATTTGCATGTGTTTACTGTGTAAAGCTGGGGGTTTGCGGGGAGCAAGTGATGCCATGATTGTTTATGGATGCTGCTATCCGGCCAGCCAGCTAAGAACAAGGGCTCCCTAGTCTAAGATTGCCTCTCACGGCGTTTCTTCCTTCACCTGGTAGCCTGACATGTGCAATGGTCGATTCGTGTTTGCACAACTTGTCTTGTTGACATATAATTACACGGGCAAAAAGGCTTAGGGCTTACGCCGCTAACGGCTCCACTCATTACCGCACCGAAATTGTCGTGAGACTTTTTTTTTTAGGTTTAACTAATCCATCAGTTTGCTTAGATAACAGGTTTAGTTGCCAGCCCCTTTACTTCAAGCACGAAGGTGTGGAAATTTGGATCACTAAGGTCAGGAATAATTTGGGAGATGGATTATTAGATTGTATCTACTACGATCGGACTTATATATATAGAGCTTTAGCTACCCTTACTAGAAGGTAAATAATTAGTAAACCTTTCTTAGTAGAGCTCCTGCTTTTTATTAGGCACTTAGTAGTAAGCTAGTAGTTAATTAGATAGTAGGTTATATAGGGGTATTAATTAGGATTAATTAGATTAAGATACTCTATAATCTAGTTAATATCCCTCCTATAATATACCCCCTAGGTATAGATAGATCTTTTATTATTATAGTTACGCTTATAGTTAGTAGGTAGTATAGCTAATTAGAGTATTATATATCTAAAGGGTTAAATTAGCTTACTCTTTAGATACTAACTAGTACGCCTTCCTTATTTAGCCTACGCTTATATACTTAGATATTATCTAGACTAAGATTTATAACTCTATTTACCTAACTATAATCTTTACTATAGCTTAAATTATAAGATTATATAACCTTAAAGATCTAAACTATACTTATATCCTTACTAACCTATATCTTAGTTAAAGTTAAAATCTACTACTTATACTTACTTTACCTATACTACCCTTATAGCCTCCTATACTACTAAAGCTACTATTACTAAAGCTACTACTACTAAAGAAGAGTATACTACTACTAAGTATAAGGCTATTATAAAGTATATAGTAGCTAAGTATATAGCTACTACTACTATAGTTAAGATTAAGAAGCTAAGGAAGGGCGCTCCTGCCTTAGCTCTTACTACTCTAGCTCTAACTCTAGCTCCTACTCCTCCCTAGACCCTACCTAATACCCCTACTCCTTCTTCTACTCCCTCTTTAGCTTCTAAGGAGACCCTAAGATCCTCCTACTAAGGAGAGCCTAGTATTTATTATACTAAAACTTATCTAAATTATCTACACTCTACACTCTTTAATAAGTCTAATAGTTAGTGCTATAACTCTTTTAGTAGGGGGACTTAGTACTAGTAGTACTTCTTTAGGTATAGCTATATTCTAATATATATAATCTATATAAGAATTTTTCCTTTATAATACTTAGTAAAATCTATACTAATAAACTAATAGCCCTAAGCTTACCTAATATTTTATACTATTCTTTCTAGTAAGAAAGTAAGTAGGTAAGAGCTAAGACCTTCTTA